CGCGGCCAACATCCCTGCCCTCTCACGCTTAGTTTGGCGCGTGCTCAAACCTTGCCTCAAGCAGCTTAAAAGGGGTGTGTTTATTAAGACCATATTTAGTTTAACTTATCGAAATTTTTATTTTTTTAATATTATTTATAAATAATAAATTTAAATTTTTATTAAAAAAATTTAAAAATATAAGTTTTTTTTAAAAAATTTTAATTTATGAAATATGAATAATATCAAAAAACTAAAACTCCAATAAGTTAATCCAAACATGCTCTAAAGGTACTAATTTAAAAAATTTTTCTAATAGTATTTAAAAATATTATTTTATTAATTAAATTTAATTTATTAGTAAATAAATATGAAATTTTTTTTTATCAATTATTAGTTATTCTCTCTTCTTGTTTTTAATATACTTAATTTAATTTTTTAATATTTAAAATATGAATTTAAATAGAAATTTAATAACTTATATAAATAATAATTGAAACTTTTTTTTTACTTACATGAAGTTTTTTTTTTCCTACATGAGTACTTTTCTTTGATAAAAAAATTTTTAATTATCATTTATATAATATATTAAAATTTTATTTAAAATTTATAATTAAAAAAATTAAATTAAATTTATTAAAAATAAATGTAGAGAGCAATTAATAATTATAATTATTAATTAAGTTAAACAAATTAATATTTTTAAAAATAATACTTTACCATTAGATTAACATTTTGAGTGGCGGCAATAAAAAAGCTATGCAACTCTAATTTTGTTTTACATTTTTCAAATTCAAAAGCACGGGCGGCGCGTAGGATTTACAACTAGCTAAGAAACCATGACGTCTTCTGAGGGCATTGGCGTCACCGACATGCAAATTTTTTGTCAGAATGATCAAAATAATGGTAAACATAGACCGGAGCAGTAGTATGAGAGGTCTTTAGTGCATGCTAAAAAATGACGTTTACTCTAAATAAATAAACAGCTGGGCGGAGGCATGTATCATAGACTGCTGTTCTTTGGTCACGTGGGCCAGTGTGGGCTTCACTGCATGAACCCCTGCATCTATCAATCCCTCTTCCCCCTCTCCCCCTTCTCATTACCCCAAAACTGTTCCTCCATTATTTCACTCATTTCCCTTCACACATTCTCCAGAGAATTCCAAGTTTTTTTGAAGCTAGGGTTGCCTTTTTTGAAGGGTACTTGCGTGGTGGAGATACGGGTGAGTTAGCTAGATAGGACAAGCTTTAGAAAAAGAGAGGGGGTGTTATAAGAAAACGAAGTGCTTTATGTGGGTATTCATTGGCGGCCATGTCGTGGGTAGGCAGGAGGAGAGGGTTGTTTTCTTCTGTGGCGGTGCTGTGGATCATCTTCATGTTACAAATTTGGGTCTGCTGTGAGTGCCGGCCCGGAGCTATGCGGGTACTTTCAGGAAATCGGATGTCGGTGAAGATGGCGCCGGTAGAGAGCCAAGGTATGACGTCGGAGGAGAAAAACGAGATGTTCAGGAAGTTCTTCAATGGAAGGAGTACTTTTGATTTCAACAGAACAGATAAAGGACTCGAAGAGAGCAAACGAAAGGTGCCCAGCTGCCCGGATCCTCTGCACAACTAGTAGAAATTAAACTCTTTCTGACCCCTTTCCTCTTTGTTTAATCCCTCCTTTGAAATTTGTTCATCCGATCCTACCCAAAATACCCGCGTTTTCCTCATCATATATCATGCATGTACTATGGTCAAGTTAGGTAATTTGTAGGGGGAAAACGAGGGTATTTTGGAATTTTAGTCCTTTCATTTCTTCTTGATCCAGAAATGGAACCACAAATGTTTTGTATAGAGGAGATCAGGTGAGAGTGCAGAGTACTATGTAGTGCTTACCTTGTTTCTACTACTTTTTTTGGATCCATTTTCAAAGGGTTCAACATTTCTGTTTTGAAGAAGAAGAAGAAGAAGAAGAAGAAGAAGAAGAAGAAGAAGAAGAAGAAGAAGTTGAGGTAAAAAATGTTATATCAGAGATCGATCAGAAGATTTTGTTTCACCACTGTGGAAACATTTTGAGTGTTTCACCCTCCAATTTGCATTTAACGGCAATACTTGATGCGTCTGTCTTTCAAGAATTCAGCAGTAGTAGTTCCTTTTTCCCCTGATGTGCTTGTCATTTCCAAGTTTACATTTCACAAATTCCACACTGAAAAAGTAGAACTTGTTTGTTCCTACACAAGTCACATGCTGCCAATGCCATCCCAAGTAATAAAATATTTCCCTAATTACTGCACATAATAATCCTACTATAATCCCACGAAATCAGAAAAGAAACATGGTTCAAGCCGTTAGATCCATTCCATTCTCTGCCACTTGCAGGCGTTGACTCTCACTACCGTAACGTTTTTATTTAGGCCAAAACCCATCAAAAGGATCTTCCAAAAGTTCCTAGCTTTTTACCCCAGTTCTTTTTTGTTGAAATTCAGAAAATTAAGTGAAAAAGATGGAGAAGCATTAAAACAAATAATGATTCTATAAAACAGTCAAAAGAAATTATAAGTGGGGTTGAATGTTGGATGGATTTAGTGTTTGTGTAATAGTGAAAAATTGGAAAGTGGTGCAATTTTTAAAGGCTTCTTCCAGTTAATGTTTTGTCCCGTTAAGGAATAAAAAAGTACATAAGGCCAAGATATAATCTGAGTTTGGAGTTTGGATAGAGGAGAAAAGAGAAAAGGAAAAATTATTAAAAATGGTTTGATCATAGCGATAGGTAATTAATGGGTGGGCCACTTGGCATTGGCAAACAAAGGGAGAGCGAGCGGAGTCTCGAATTGTGCTCCGTTCATGGGTTTTTATTGGAAGGAAAAGCAATGAAACCAATGTAGGAAAGAGCCACGTACTTTGCGGCGAGAGAAGTTAACAAAAAAAGCTGCAAGAGATTTTCGTAGTCGTGTAATTTGTTTGCTAGTGTTTTGGATTGGAATCCGCATGACTTAATTTCCTTCGTTTATTCTTCTTATCAATCACAAATTTTCATTTGTACGTGTATCATATACCATGATAAGCTTTTTATTTTTGTTTTTAGTGTAACCAACAATAACATGGTTGAACCAGACTTATAAGTTTAACTGGTTCTTCCTCAACTTTTAAAGCATTTGAATTAGTTGGTTATAATTTTGAATTTTATCAATATTAAAATTTTTTTTTAATTCTCTAAAATTATAAACTATTCAATAAAAAATATAATTTTTTTTAAACAATTTACAAAAATTTGAGATGAGAATTGAAACCCAATCTTAAGGCTGCAAAATGCACCTTATAATAGGCGTAGAGTCATTCGGTTTGGCCAAAAGACCCAGGTTCAATCAATAATATAACTATAATATTATAATTAATTATAAATTTATGTTTTTGATGTATTATTAAATAAGTGTAAAAGATGTGTTATTATTAAGGGCTTGATAACATTGGACATGAGCTGTGGTTCTCGTGATTGGGCTAGCTTAATTTGTAGGGTCTATTAATCTGCCTGGGAATCTTCTCTTTGGGCCTGATGGACTAAACTAACACATTAGGCATAAATAACCCCTTTTAAGTTTAAAAACATTTGTGCTTTTATCAGTTTTGGATTAAGATGCCAAAAAAAAAAGAACAAAGAAAAAAATGAAAAATGGATTTGCATGTCTGCCCACATGCGACTTAATAGGTTAAATATAAAAATTAGTTCTTAAATTTTTAATTTTAAATAATTTTATTTTTTAAATTTTGTTTGTCTTTCAATTTTTTTTTAAAAGTATTATTTTGTCCATTTTTAATAAACTTAAATTAATTTTTTGATTTTTAAAATATAAA